TGTACACAAGAACATAGTGTGGTAATCATGTACACAAGGGTACAATGTGGTAATGGTGTACACAAGAACATAGTGTGGTAATCATGTACACAAGGGTACAATGTGGTAATGGTGTACACAAGGGTACAACGTGGTAATGGTGTACACAAGAACATAGTGTGGTAATCATGTACACAAGGGTACAATGTGGTAATGGTGTACACAAGAACACAGTGTGGTAATCATGTACACAAATCCACTGTTTACTATGACCATTATATATGGGTATGTGTAAGTTAAGAAATTCTGTATGGGGAAAAAGCAAAAATATTTAAACAACTTTTTTACAGGATTTTGTTTCAATAATGAGAAAATTTTCAAACAGACAGGTGATTAAGTTCCTATTTCTTTAGAGTTTTAACCAACCTGGCAGACTTCGAGCAAATCTTGGCATAAGGTGAAAACGTGGGCATGAGTTGTCATCTCCTGGCCCCTTCCAGTCCAGGTCTACCAGTTCTAGGATTTCAGTAAACAGAAATTGGGAAAACAGGTCCATGCTCCGGATAGAATAGTTCTGTAGGTCAAAGATAAGTATATCTTATAGTTTTATTATATATATAAACATCACAAAACTTATAAGTGTAACACATTTTGAAGTTTTCCTTCTCAGATGTTTACAGTAACAATTAAAAGTATGTAGTATCACAATCTTAGGAACAAAAAACATCCTGTTAATTAGCAAGCAAACTTACATATAAATACTTCCCAACGTTATCTTAACTTTCTCACCCCAACGTTATCTTAACTTTCTCACCCCAACGTTATCTTAATTTGTAACAACAATTTCACATATGTATGTTTGTTTGAACACTTTTGAAAAAAAATTAGTTTGAATTTTACAAATATTTCCAAGATAAAATTGGCACCATGTGTGAAAACAAATAATAAGTTATCACACCTATCTTTCTTTAAATATTTTCATACATTTCATAAAAACAGGAATCTCACCTCAGGAACAGTTTCTTCAAAGAAGTGGATTGTGTAGCTGATGTTGAACCTGATCACTTTACACACAGGTATCTGTTGTCAGTTCATACAATGAAAAAACATAAAACATAAATTATTTCCATTGGTTTTTTATTACAAAATATCCTATAATTTCAATGTGTTCTGTCTTGTTGATTGATATGGTTATTTTTAATCTCATTATATACACTACCAGTTGAAATAATACATATACAGGTAGTGTCTTGATTGTCCTGACAACATCACCAAATAACATTTCAGCTATCCTTACTGAATATATATTTAAAATTAACTTGATGCCTGAAAGTGCTGTATTATAATCACTGAGAGAAAATACTGCCACATTGTATCAGGAGGTAGAGGACAGTGATAACTTCAGAGAAGTTTCTCTCCTACTGATCCATTACATTGTAAATTTGACACAGACCATCGGCTGCCAAGAGAAATATCCCCAGTATTGTGCAGTTATTTCAGACACTAATTCTAGGTCCAAAACAAGTTGTCCTCACTCCAGAGTTGTCTACAAACACACTAAGTGCCGTCAAACAAACTACACATCCCAGCTGTAGAACAAACTACACATCCAAGCTGTAAAACAAACTACACATCCAAGCTGTCAAACAAACTACACATCCCAGCTGTAGAACAAACTACACATCCAAGCTGTCAAACTAACTACCCATCCCAGCTGTCAAACCAACTACACATCCCAGCTGTCAAACCAACTACACATCCAAGCTGTCAAACTAACTACACATCCCAGCTGTCAAACAAACTACACATCCCAGATGTCAAACAAACTACACATCCCAGCTGTTAAACAAACTACACATCCCAGCTGTCAAACCAACTACACATCCAAGCTGTCAAACTAAATACACATCCCAGCTGTCAAACAAAATACACATCCCAGCTGTCAAACAAACTACATATCCCAGCTGTCAAACAAAATACACATCCAAGCTGTCAAACAAAATACACATCCAAGCTGTCAAACAAACTACACATCCAAGCTGTCAAACAAACTACACATCCAAGATGTCCAAAAATGTGTATTGTCCCAGCTGTCAAACAAACTACACATCCCAGCTGTCAAACAAACTACACATCCCAGCTGTTAAACAAACTACACATCTGTCAACAAACTACACATCCCAGCTGTCAGACAAACTACACATCCCAGCTGTCAAACAAACTACACATCTCAGCTGTCAAACAAACTACACATCCAAGATGTCCAACAAACTACACATCCCAGCTGTCAAACAAACTACACATCCAAGATGTCCAACAAAGTACACATCCCAGCTGTCAAACGAAATACACATCCCAGCTGTCCAACAAACTACACATCCCAGCTGTCAAACAAACTACACATCCAAGATGTCCAAAAATTTGTATTGTCCCAGCTATCAAACCAACTACACATCCCAGCTGTCAAACCAACTACACATCCCAGCTGTCAAACAAACTACACATCCCAGCTGTCAAATCAACTACATATCCCAGCTGTCAAACAAACTACATATCCCAGCTGTCAAACAAAATACACATCCCAGCTGTCAAACAAAATACACATCCCAGCTGTCCAACAAACTACACATCCCAGCTGTCAAACCAACTACACATCCCAGCTGTCAAATCAACTACACATCCCAGCTGTCAATCCAACTACACATCTGTCAACAAACTAAATGTTAAAGTTAAAGGACTCCTGTGCTCAGTTCTCTCTTTCACCATTACATAGTCCTTTTAAAATAACATTCTGCACTCAATCTGATTTTTTAATCTCATTTGTCATGAATATATCCAGAAGAGTAAATTCCTATGCCCATAAACACATTTTTCTTTTTAATCGATACCTATTACAGAATACTTACATTTTCAAGCTTGTAGTGAGAAAATAATGAAAATCCTTCAAAAATATATTCATGATTATCATGCTCTATAATGGTTGGGCTTCGAGTCTGAAATAAAAAGCATAACAGTTATTTCCCATAAATCATGGCTTATAACTAAATCACAAGTTTATCCATACACATTTACCACACTATTTTATAAAAAACATATCATAACATATCAAGTTTTTGTTTGAAATATAAACCAGTGTCAGCATTAATTTTTTAACAGGTGGGTTAGCAAGTAGTTCTAGCATTAAGAAATACACTGACATAATAAAAGAAGGCAACATTTAATTCTACAATGACACTGATTCCTCTATGTGTTTGTAGGATTTCAGTTTACTTGATGCATGAAATAAAGCCCTTGTATGGATGCCAGAATTTTTAACGAAAAATTATCAGTGTGTATATAAAACAAATAAAAGGTAAGAAATTTCATGAGAATACTTAATAGAGATTGACGGACGTGACAGGATGGCAGGAAAATGTGAAGTCAGTTTAGACAAGTGTCCCTGTAATGATTCCAACTCACCAAGAAGTTGGTTGGTGGAGACATGGTGATGACATAGTGGTACAGCAGATTAGTATTGCTGGATACAGGGTTACACCTATCAGAAGCCTCCTCCCCCGGATATTTGTCGTGACGTATGCCGGTCCTTCTCGATTTCAAACTACAGCGACATACAGGGCCATCATTCATCTGTCAGAGAAACATTTGTTGGATACATACACAATGCACTAACAGTGAACATGTACAAAACAAGCTTTAACTGAAACATTTCAGTTTATCTCATTGACATAATTCTAGGCCACGATTTCCAGTCATCTATTTAATTTTGATATGTACCCGACAGTTGTGGTCATTGTTATAACTCTGACACCTTAACAAAATAAGGGCCTATATTCAATCTTTTGATTTAATGATTTCAGTGGTTTTTCTTTTCACAACTGACCAGAGTTACATTTTAGCAAGTTAAAGGAGATATCTTCACTTATGGCTTTTCTATTCTTCAGAAAAAGTAATTTGAACATTCAACATATTTTACCCCTGAGAGCTTGAATATGGATTAATGTCATTTGTGTTCATTAACTTGTAGAGTATCATCCAGCAAGCTACCAGCCAAATATCATCACTCTAAGCCTTGTCATATTTCAGAAGAAGTTGTTTGAGTGTTTTAACAAATAAGTCTCTTGTGTCCTTGAATACGGGTCAAGATCATTTTTAATCACAAACTTTGTAGCAAACAATTAAACAAGAGGCCCATGGGCCTTAACGGTCACCTGATATATTTATACAGAGAGTTGATTTTGTTTTTAACATGAACAGAAATATTACTCAAAGTGACAAAAAACAATAAAACCACCTTACTCAATATCTAGCATACAGATTTCAGACTAAAAAGGATTTGAAACTAGCACCTCTGATTCTTAACAAGGAAAATGAAGAAATTTTAGCACACTGACTCCTTTGAGCCCCACCCTACAGCCCTTGGGGGTAGGGCTGGCTCAAAATTTTCAAAGTATCAAACTGTCAATTCAAGGTTATAATTCCAATCAAGTTATTAACATGTAATATTCAAAGTATCATTTGCCATTATAAACCATAATA